TGATAAGAAAAAAGAAAGAAAATACGAAGTACCAGTATGAAGAATGAAAGAGCATGTATCATTACTGTTAGATGGCTAATAAGGGAAAATTATTAACTTTATGTGAGTAAATTTAAAATGTACATGAAATGGACAAAAATCCAGTGTATCAAAAATGGACACAAGAACTAGAAAATATGGATAGACCTTTATGAAGGAATTTGAATTTATTTTGTATACACAAATACACATTTAAAGAAACTTTTCACCAAGATTATTTCAGTAGTAAATTTTGTCAAACTTTTAAGAATATAATAAAATCACTCACACAAACTTTTTCAAAAAGTAGAGAAGTGTGGAATGCTACCTAATTACTTTGATGGGGCTATTGTTACCTTGATACCCAATCTGAAAAGACATTATAAGAAAAGAAAATTATAGGTCAATATTCCTCATGCTCATAATTGTAAGAACTCTTAACAAAATATTAGCAGGTCAAATATGGCATTGTATAAAAAGGATGATACTGTATATTTCTTCCAAGTTTATCATATCTCAGGAATATAAGGTTTATTTAACATGTAAAATTCAAATTTCAGTGTAATTCACCATATAAGCAAAACATGATAAAATGCATGCGATCATCTCAATGCAATTCATTAACTTACGTGACAAAATTCAATACCCACTGATGATCAGAAAATTTCTTAATAAAATAGGGATAAAAGGGAATTCTCTCCGTCAGATACAGAGCATCTACAAAACACCCACAATTAATACCATGGTGGTAAAATATTGAATCTGTTTCCCCAAAGGTTTGGAACAAGACAAATACCTTGTTCACGACTTCTGTTTGACATTATGTTAGGGATCCTAGTCAGTGCAATAAGATAAGAAAAAGGAATAAAAGACATATGGATTAGAATGGGAAAAGTATAACTGTCCTATTCACAAATGATATAGATTGTATATGAAGAACTTCCTAAGGAATCAACAGAACAACTAACTACTAAGACTAATAATTGAACCTGGCTAGATCATAGGATACAATATCAAAACTTAAAATCAATTTTACATTTATATACTAGAGTTTGTAAATATACATTTATTTACAAACTTAAATCAAGTAATATTTAACAGCAATAAAATGACATTAAATACTTGGGAAAAAATCATATAAGACCACTATACTGAAAACTACAAAATATTATTGTAAGAAATTAATGAAGACTTACATAAATGGAGAGATATACCATGTTTATGAATTGGAAGAATCAATATTATTAGGATGGCAATTTCCTCCAAATTGATGTGTAGATTCATTTTGAAATCTCAGTAAAAATTCTAACAGGCTTTTGTGTATGTGTGGAAACTGACAATTCTAAAACTTATTTGGAAATGTGAAGTATCTAAAATAGCCTTCAGAAAAATGATAAAGAAGAAAGTGTTGTTGGTCTCACACTTACTGAATTCAAGACTTTCTTCAAAGCTGTAGTAAATAAGATAGCGGAGTATTGACAGAAGTATAGATGAACAGATCAATGCAACAGAAAGAGAATCCATACATAAATATCCAATTGATTTTTGCAAAGTTGCCAGGAAAATTCATTGAGGAATGTCAAGTCTTTTGGTGCTGCAACAATTGGATAAATTTATAGTTAAAAATGAACTTTGCTCCATACTGCACACCACACTCCAAAAAAAGTCCTTGAAGATTGACCATAGATTGAAATGTAAAACTCAAAACCATGCAGTTTCTAGAACAAAAAAATATAGAATATTTTCAGGACCTTGAGGTAAAGATTTTTTCAGAAGGACACAGAAAAGAATTAAACATAAAATACAAATTGATAAATTAAGCTTCATCATAATTAAAATTACTTCAATCAAAAAATGCCATTAAGAAAATGAGAAAGCAAGCCATAGAATGAGTGAAAATATTTTCAGTGCATATACTGACAAAGGGCTTGTATACGTTTATACAGAACTCTTACAAATTGATAAGAAAAAGACTAATAACCCAGTAAAAATGTGCCAAAGACTTGAACAGACACTAATATAAGAAGTTAAAGAAATGACCAATAAGCATATGAAAAATGTGTTCAACATCATTGTTCATGAAATGTAGATTCAAGCCACATGAGATATCATTTTATACCCACTTTAATAGCTAACATTAAAAAATAAAAAAACTGAACATACAATATGTTGGTAAGGATGTGGAACAACAGGAACTCTCATACCTTGCTAGGGATGTAAACTGGTGAAGCCACTTTGGGAAATAGTTTTGTAGTATTAAATAAAGTTAAGCATGCCCTATGACCCAATAATTTTGTTTACAGTGAAATGAAAATGTATGGTCACACATTTGAACATTAATATTCATATGAGCAATAATGGTTGAAAACTTATAATGAGCCAAATGTCCTTGAACAAGTAAATAGATTGTGATATATTCATACAATGGAATAGTACTCTCTGATTAAAAAGAGTAAATACTGATACATATGATAATATGGTTGACTCTCAAAAATATGAAGTGATCAAGCCAGATATAAAAGGGTAAATGCTGCCAGACACAGTGGCTCACGCCTGAAATCTCAGCACTTTGGGAGGCTAAAGCAGGCAGATCACGAGTCAAGAGATAGAGACCATCCTGGCCAATATGGTGAAACCCCATCTCTACTAAAAGTACAAAAAATTAGCTGGGTATGGTGATGTGTGCCTGTAGTACCAGCTACTCAGGAGGCTGAGGCAGAAGAATCGTTTGAACCCAAGAGGCAGAGGTTGCAGTGAGCCGAGATAGCGCAACTGCACTCTCTAGCCTGGCGACAGAGCGAGACTACGTCTCAAAAAAAAAAAAAAAAAGGAAAATGCTATGTGATTTTACTTACATGAAAACCTAGAGCAAGTAAAACTATAGTGAACGAAAGCCTATCAGTGGTTGCTTAGGTTTGGGGAGGGTATATTAATTGCATAGGGCAAAAGAAAACTTTTTGGGATGATGGAAATATCTTGATTGTGGTGGTCATTGCATAGGGGTATGCATTTGAGAAACTCATCATCTATGAACTTCAAATAGGTGTATTTTCTTTTATGCACATTATACCTTAATAAAGTTGTTTTGTTGTTTCATTTTGTTTTTGAGATGGAGTCTTGTGCAATGGCATAATCTCAGCTCACTGCAACCTCTGCCTCCTGGATTCAAATGATTCTCCTGCCTCATCCTCCCAAGTAGCTGGGATTACAGGCGCCTTCCACCACGCCCGGCTAATTTCTTTGTATTTTTTAATAGAGACAGGGTTTCACCATGTTGGCCAGGCTGGTCTCGAACTCCTGATCTCATGATCTGCCCAGCTTGGCCTCTCAAAATGCTGAGATTACAGGCGTGAGCCACCACGCCTGACCATAAAGGTTTTTTTTGTTTTTTGTTTTTTTTTAGTCTACCAACACCAAATGCTGGCAAGGATGTATAGCAGCTGAAATTCTCATACATTTCCACTGATACTTTTATATGATACAACTTTAGAAAACTGATGGTTTATTATAAAGTTAAACATCTATGAACCAGCATTTCAACTCCTAGATATTTACCAAAGGGAAATGAAAACATATTCACAGAAAGGCTTGTTCAAGAATGTTCGTAGTGGCTTTATTCATAATAGCCCACAATTGGAAACAACCCAAATGTTCATCAGTAGGAGAATCAATAATCAAATTGTCATATAGTTACATAGTGGAGTAATACTCTGCAATTATGAAGAATGAATTACTAATGTATGAAACAGCATAGTGGAATTTAAAAATATTAAGTGGAAGAATGCATGATGTATGTTTCCATTTATGTGATGTTTAAGAACAGATAAAACTAAATTATGGCAATAGAAATCTAGCATTGGTTGCCTAAGAACATAGGGTTTGACTAGAATAGGCACAAGGTGACTTTCTCAGAGTGGTAAATATGTTTTATGTGTTAATTGTGGTGGTGGTTACACAAGTATATATTTATCAAAGCTCATTGAATTGTATACTTAGATCTGTACATTTCCTTGTGTTACTATATAGTATTCTAGAGACCAAATAATTAGAATATTTTTGGCATTTTTTATAAATTATTTGATGGTCTCAGAATCATATAAGCGCCAGTAGAGACAGAAAAAGAATCCTATTTGCGTAATATAATTGGCTTATAGAAAAAACGACAATGTGCTATACGAAAGCACAGTCTATTTCACTCAAAAGGCAGTACAATGAAAGAATTAAGAGCAAAGACTTTATAACGAAACTAGGTTCAAATCCTGGTTTTACCACTTGTGATCTTAAGCAATTTAACTCCTTTTGTGCTACTCCTTTCTGGTATGTAAAACTTGAAACTTAAGGTCGTAAAAACTAAACAGCTTACTACATGCCACCTGCTTAGAATGCCTGGTACATCATCCATGGTACAGTAAGCATCCATTTATTATTTGCTGTTCTTAGTTATTTACTTTTCATTTCTTCTTGTTATTTATTTTTATTTTCCCATCTGTTTTTGTTGTTATTAGTTATAAAGTTCTGGCAGGTATATAAAACAGTGCATTTAGTTCTTCACACTCTGATGCCTTCACTCTTCTACCTAAAGCTCTCAAAAAGCAATTTCCCCTTCTTACCTTGCTAGTTCCTGCTTATCTTGCAAGACTGGTCAAGCTACAACTCCTCCAGGAAGCTTTCCCTGGCTGCTAAATCCTATACACCTTTTCTTTGCTCCCCCAGCATTCTCTATTCACTTTCATGGATATGCAGATCATTTGTCTTATGGTTTTTCTACAGTGTTTTTCTTGCTACACAGTAGGCTTTGTGACGTTAGATATAATTTGTTATTTTTCTTTATGCTTAAATCCTTGTCTCGTACAGGGTAGTATGCAATTCATCCTTGACTGAACGCATGAATACCATAAAACTTTCCTGTTACATGTTTCTGTTTGATAGTTATTAATTAAAATAATGTCCATTCATCTATTTTTACCAACTTTGACTTTCAGATTTTCCTTCTTGGGATTATCCTGCTTCCAATTCGTGCCTTATTGGTTGTGTTAATTGTATTACTTGCATGGCCATTTGCTGCAATTTCAACAGTATGCTGTCCTGAAAAGCAGACCCACCCAGTAACTGGTTGGAGGAGGTAAGAAATAATTATGTCCAAAATATTAGGACATAATATTAAATTAAGATATATCAATATTAAAAGTTTGTAATAATTTAGTCAGTGATCAATAGCTTTATCTAACTGCTACCTACTCGATAATAATTTATTTTTATGTCTCATATAAAATATGTAGAAATTACTGCCCAAATGCCAACTACATTATGATAATCTAAAAGATGTAATTTCCTAATGTTAAAATATTTTGTTTTCTGCCATATGTGAATTATTTCCATAATTCGGAAAGATACCCAACTATTATACTTGAAACTATTGAAGCTACAAAATACCCCTTTTTTTCTTCCTCAGTTTTCACATTTGTTTTTCTCCCTCTACAGCTTTTTGCAGTGGCATAATTGGATCAATTATATTATTTTTATTAATTACTTTAATAGTAATTTCTATTGTAATAGAATAACAATTTAATTATTAACCAATATAGTCTAGTTGTTTTAAACATTAGCATGAGGCAGAATGGAACTACTTTTCAGGCATTATCTAATTAAGATGGTAATAGAAGAGAAACTCATCATGAATTAATAAACTACTGGTAAAAGTTTATTCTTATTGGACAGAACCAAATTGTTGTGATCTGTATGCCTTGAAAGTGCAGCCTCTTAATTGGACTCCATGGATTCCATGTGAATTTCAAATCTGTAGATAGGTTTTAGTGCAGTGTCAAACTCTCTGAAATTGTTGGCAATTTCTTTTATATGCAAGAATATTTTTGTATCCAAATCTCAAATGTGAATACATCCTCCGAAAATTTTGAGAAATACTATTCTAGAAACTTTTAAAGAAATGTGTAGTTTGCTGTTCAGTTCATGTTCTGGTGAACAAATGTCAATATCAAACACAAGGCTGGTTTGAAGTGGAAATGAATCCAATGCTGTAATGCCCCAGAGAAATCTCAGTTCTTGCAAACCATGCTCCTTTGTTTTATAACTCAAGGTTGTATAGTATAAAACAACACTTGAAGGGATGTTTTTTTATGACTCACCAATTCTTTTCAGATTACCTCTTTGGTTTTTATTGTCAGTGGCTTATGAAAACCTAGGATGATAAAAGGAATAGGCTTAAGAATCCAGATAATAGATATAATAAATGTTAGAAAAGGAAGTTTTACTTTTGTTCATTAAACCAGTATCTCTTTCTCCTCTCAAACAGGTTATGTTGAAGATATTACGTGTGACCAGACTTATAGCCATTTTTTAAACATGTTAAATAGGAGTGTTTAATGACTCCGAATGTGGGATAAATATAGTTATCAGAAGCTACATCACTATAGATAAAAAAATAAGAGGTGTGGAAATTTGATAAAGGGATACACTTTGCATCATTACATGAGTAGAAATCTCTTCTCTAAACTAAAGGTGAAGAAAGGGAGTATATTTCCTGTGCCCTTTGGAAAAGTATTTTGGTTTTCTTTATATAACTTCCTCTTGTGAAATAAAAGTCACAGAAACTTCCTCAGAGCTAGTTGCTAATAGCTCCTCACTATATTATTAGAAAAATGTGGAGATAATTAGATGAGAATCCTATTTTTAAAAGCTAAGGTGGGCGGATCACTTGAGGTCAGGAGTTTGAGACCAGCCTGGCCAACATGGTGAAACCCCGTCTCTACTAAAAATACAAAAATTAGACCTGGCGGCAGGTGCCTGTAATCCCAGTTACTCAAGAGGCTAAGGCAAGAGAATTGCTTGTACTGGGGAGGCAGAGGTTGCAGTAAGCCAAGATTGCGCCACTGCACTCCAGCCTGGGCAATAGAGCAAGACAACGTCTCAAAAAAAAAAAGAAAAAAAAAAAAAAAAGCTCTCATTAAATATCGCCAGGATGATGTACATATTTTACTTTTTACTTTTGATAAAAAGCTATATGCATATTCACATACTGAGATATGCCTTCTGTGTTTGCACTTCTGGGAATACATTTTTGTTTCCCTGCTCAACTGGATCTTATTTGTCTTGTGTCTCCAGCACAATTCCTGGCACAGTTTGATGAATTAACTTACCTTTAATGGCACAATCTTTTTAAAAAGTAGTTTCTGGGTTGCTCAAGTGCATCTCATTCCAGGGAAGTGAGATGGTGAACTAACTTCTGATTATTCTTGATGAGATCTAAAAACTGTAACAATACAGATAAGAAGACTCACTTTTTAAAAAAATTCCTAAAATAATTATGAAGACAGTTTCAGTGTGAGAGTTCCAAAAGTGTTTTAGGAGATAGTAGCGTCTTCATTACAACAAATGTGGATTTCCAAGATAACTACTTTGAAGGACAATACTTATTTGGACATCTCGGTAGGGGATGTTTGTTGAAAATTCATTTTTCTGAAAATTCATTTTTAACAGTTTATGGTCTCAGAATGATGGAGCCGTTTATTAGCCATGTGTCGTTGGGCAAATTACGTCTCTGTGCCTCGGTTTCTCATCTGTAAAATGGGAGAAATAATTTTTAAATACCTACTTCAAAAGATTAGGCTGAGGATTAAATATATGTATAAAGCATTTAGAATAGTGCCTGGCACCTGGCAGGAGTGTCATGTAAACGTTAGCTATTATTCTCCTCAGCTCATATTTTTAATATGAAACATTCTGATGTATTTTGGTTTGCTTATTGTGTTTTAGAGTAAAATCCTGCTGCTAGCTTTAATTAACAAAGCTAATTGTGTCTTTTTAATATTTTCACAGGAAAATTACTCAAACGGCTTTGAAGTTTCTGGGTCGTGCTATGTTCTTTTCAATGGGATTTATAGTTGCTGTAAAAGGAAAGGTCGCAAGTCCTTTGGAAGCACCAGTCTTTGTTGCTGCCCCTCATTCAACATTCTTTGATGGAATTGCCTGTATTGTTGCTGGGTTACCTTCTATGGTATCTCGAAATGAGAATGCACAAGTCCCTCTGATTGGCAGTAAGTACTTGTAAGGTAACATAGATAAAATATTTTCATGCTCATGCTTTAAAATAAAATATATAGTTTATTGATAAACTTTTTTAAAAGTTTAAAATAATAAAACATTGCAAACCTATTTACTTTATTGTAAGAAGGTACTACACGGAAATAGTATATTTATGAAAAAGATTAGAGACTTCCCTTTTATAGCCTCATACCTCTTTAAAACTTTTATTACTATACCATTATGTGTTTTTGTTCTTACATATAGCCAGAAAGACTGGTTTTCAGATATAACCCATGCTTGATTTGAGAGAATTTAACCCATGTTTGATTTGAGAGAATCTGTGAAAACACAGGTTACATGTTGTTTCGTGAATTTATCTTCAGGATATTAGGCTGCTAAATGCAGTAAATCATTTCTCCTCACTGTTTTCTTCATATTGCCCTCCAAATCTCCATGAGGGACCTATGTGTAGCTCTCTGAAAATTATGATTCGGAACAATAAGTACTTCCTGCCATAAAAAAATAATGACACAAGTGAAATGTTTTCCCCACCAGATGCTTTGGTCTCTCCCTCAGGAATTGTCTCCAAGTAACTACTCCCTGTTGTCCCAAGGTTATTGCAAACATCACATGAGAGAGTGAGTGTGAAAGCTGCCTCATGTTGCCTTGGTACTCCGGAAAAGTAATAGTAGTTCTTGCAGCTTTGTCATTCAGCTAAGATACTTTGTTTGTTTGTTTGTTTTTTTAACGTAACTACCATGCTTTGTGGAATATGGCTTTTTCATGAAAAATTGTGTAGCAATAGATTTTTGGTAAATTGAGGTTGATTTTTCATGTACCAGGAAGCTATTTAAATAAAACTGTTGTGCTGAAAATTGCAGTATTATGAGTAATGGTTTCCCCTACTTATGTGTACTGTGAATTCAAATAATCAGTTTTCAACTTATTCCTAAAATAAAACAATAATCTTGTAGCATACTCTTAACGTTAATGTCAACTGAGGAAGAAGACTTTTAGGGGGAAAATTACATTTGCTTCTTTTCATATTTTGCTGCTTACTCCTGTTAAATTAATGAAATATTTTTAGTTGTAAATATCCACTTCTTTTAAAATTAGAAGCTAAGTTCTAATAAATTCATTTTTTAATTGTTCTCTTCACTTTACTCTCATTTTAATTTTCCATACAATGTATTATATATCCAGAATTATTGCTGTGGTTGCTTTAGCCAAAAAATGGCATGCTTGTGACTTTTTATTTGTTTTAAAGGACTGTTACGGGCTGTGCAACCAGTATTGGTGTCCCGTGTAGATCCAGATTCCCGAAAAAACACAATAAATGAAATAATAAAGCGAGCAACATCAGGAGGAGAATGGCCCCAGGTAAAACATGGTAGATGTTAATTTAAATATATTGAGAGTTTTATTCATTGTATGTATGTAGACTTAATCATTTGGATCCACAGATAGCAATATCTGTGGACACCTACATTAGGTATCTTTAGTATAATAGGTACAGAGTAAATATAGTAGCAAGTATTAAGAAGGCTTCTTTCCCATGAGATGCTCGGTGGTATTACATTTTTCATTCTGTTTTATTCTCTAAACTCTTTGAACCAGTTTTCTCTTTGTGTTATAAAAAGTGATTCTCTAACTCTGCATTTACTTGCCACTTTAAAGATGAGATAGGAGATAGATACCTTAGTATCCATGACCATTAAACTAAAGTATCTCCTATTTTATTTAAAAATCTTAATTATACAGGCTCAATTATACTCAATATTGTGGTGGGTAAGTGATTAAGATCTTTAATTTCAACTGAAATTTATTTAGATAGTGCTTTTCAGTTCAAGGGGCATATCAAAATCACCTGTAGAATGTTTTTTTCATACTTTACCATCTCACCATTCACTTCCTTGGAATCCCTTTTGAAAGCAAGGGAGGAGTAACATTTACTGCAAAATAAGCCAAGAGTGATCCTTTTTTTTTTTTTTTTTTTTTTGAGACGGAGTTTCGCTCTTGTTACCCAGGCTGGAGTGCAATGGCGCGATCTCGGCTCACCACAACCTCCGCCTCCTGGGTTCAGGCAATTCTCCTGCCTCAGCCTCCTGAGTAGCTGGGATTACAGGCATGCACCACCATGCCCAGCTAATTTTTTTGTATTTTTAGTAGAGATGGGGTTTCACCTTGTTGACCAAGATGGTCTCGATCTCTTGACCTTGTGATCCACCTGCCTCGGCCTCCCAAAGTGCTGGGATTACAGGCTTGAGCCACCGCGCCCGGCCCCGCCAAGAGTGATTCTAATAGGAACCCCTTTATCTTTTCCCAGTTGCAAACAAACAACTCATCTCTAGCAGACTAATAGTCCTACAGTGATCTAGCCATCCATGATGACATGAAGATGTTAAAGTCCAAAAGGAAGTATGTGACCAAACAGGTGGTTTTAGAAACCAAGGCATGTAAGGAATGATTAAAAAGAAGATAGGTGGCATTTGGAGTAGAGTTTGATTTTTCTCTATGGATCCAAAGAATATACCTAGGACTAGTAAGTGGGAGATAACAAATAAGTTTCAGCTCATTTTGCTCATCTTAAAGAACTTTCTGTCCAGAAGTAAAATGGTCTGATGTGGCATCCTTTTCTAGAGTTTTCAGGCATTGGCTGAACAACCACTTGGTGGGGATATTGTAGAAAGAATTTAAGCCGTAGAGGTACTAGGTGACTTTGAATGGCCCTTCTAACTCTGAGATTTTATGATTCACTGTATACCCATTAATTTTTAGTAGTTTCATTGTTAAATTTTCACTGAATAAAGTATATTTGATATTGTATCCCATTGTCATAGGAAACCTACTTTTAAATTGGAGAATGGGATTATATCTATTTATAATTTTTATTTTAACCTGTTATTGTGGCAATGTAGCCCAATAAATGTTTTCCTTACCTAATTACCATAAAATCCTTTGCTAACTGCTGTGATTGCAGGAATTTATTTTATTTTATGCACTTGGCAATTTTTTCATGGCTAAATTTTAAGGGCATCAGAAAACTAAGTTGCTACTTTACTTAATTAATGGAGGAAACTAACATACTGCATATCTTTTACCTTGAAAACATGAAGAAGGATGTTAAAAGCTAAAAACACTGCCTGAAAAAGAAAAAAAGATATTAAGTTGTATTCCATATGTCAGCTAATTCAAGTAAACATAAAACACATTGTACACATTTCTTTTTTTTTTCTTTGTCCTCAAGATATATCTGAACTACATGTTGTGGAAGTAAATATTATTTAATGGGAAAACTGAAACAAAGTAGGAAATTATTTGGTTAAGGATATATAGCAGAAGAAAGAATTTAATGTAGCCTAATGCACAATTTGACCATGAATTACACACTACATCTTCTTTTAAGTTTATTCAGATCATTAGTATTATCATTATGAGATATTTGTTAAATATATTCTTTATTCAAAGCTTAAATCCATATTCCAATTATCTTAATAGTCAGACAATATTTTTTAATAAGAAAATTGAATTATCTGATGGTAGCATTCATTAGAATCAAGCATTAGCCTTTTATTTTATTTTTGTTTTTTAAGCATTGGCAGCTGTTTGTGAAGGCATAAGAAAGCAAGTAAAGAGGTAATTTATTGATTAGATTGAAATATTAAATCTATTCCTTTTTTCCCAAGATACTAGTTTTCCCAGAAGGTACTTGTACTAATCGTTCCTGTTTGATTACTTTTAAACCAGGTGAGAAAAATTAAATTATGTATTCTAACAAAGTAATATGGAAGATATCTCAAATGATTTTATAGAAATATACAAAATAACTCTTTAGCTTGCTCTGAGCATTTTTTTCTTTTCTGACAGTAAGTTTTTAACATTATGGATCCACAGAACTTACTCCTTTGATTTCTCTTTTGGTGTCACAATTCCTTTCCCCTTGTAGTGTCCGCTCCATGCATGTGCGCTCGAGATGTGTGGCTGTGAATACATTTGGGAACCCTCACAGACACGTGAGGTTCTATGTCATCAAGTAGAAAACCTATTTCATTACAATGTCTTCAGATGCCTTCTAAGATTCACTTCTTTTTTTTAACATTAGAAGTCAGTGAATGCAGCTTTCTTTATAATTCGTAATACTTTAAAATTTTTTTGTATTAGCTACTAGAATGCTCAGCATCAAAGTTATAACTCACTTCTAGTGAGTGTGGTAGTTCTTGCTTCAAGCGTTTAGTGTTATGTAGATTTTCTTATTTTTCTTTGTCATGATTTTATCATTCCTTAAAATTCTGTTGAGAACAGGAGAAAATTTTTGCAATCTATCCATCTGACAAAGGGCTAATATCCAGAATCTACATGAAACTTAAATTTTCAAGAAGAAAACAAACAACCCCATCAAAAAGTGGGCTAAGGATATAAACAGACACCTCTCAAAATAAGACATTTATGTGGTCAACAAACATATGAAAAAAGGCTCATCATCACTGGTCATTAGAGAAATGCAAATAAAAACCACGATGAGATACCATCTCATTCCAGTTAGAATGGCAATCATTAAAAAGTCAGGAAACAGCAGATGCTGGAGAGGATGTGGAGAAATAGGAACACTTTTACACTGTTGATGGGAGTGTAAATTATTTCAACCACTGTGGAAGACAGTGTGGTGATTCCTCAAGGATTTGAAACCAGAAATGCCAGTTGACCCAGCAATCCCATTACTGGGTATATATCCAAAGGATATAAATCATTCTATTATAAAGACACATGTACATGTATGTTTATTGCAGCACTGTTCACAACAGCAAAGACTCAGAACCAACCCACATGCCCATCAATGATAGAATAAAGAAAATGTGACACATATACACCATGGCACCATAGAATACTATGCAGCCATAAAAAAGGATGAGTTCATGTCCTTTGCAGGAACATGAACGAAGCTGGAAACTATCATTCTCAGCAAACTAACACAGATACAGAAAACCAAACACCATATGTTCTCACTTACAAATGGGAGTTGAACAATGAGAACACATGGACACAGGGAAGGGAACATCACATTCTGGGGCCTGTTGGAGGGTAGGGCACTAAGGGAGGGATAGCATTAGAAGAAATACCTAATGTAGATGACAGGTTGATGGCTGCAGCAACCCCCCATGGCATTGTATATACCAATGTAACAAACCTGCACGTTCTGCACATGTATCTGAGAACTTTGAGTATAATAATTTTTAAAAATTCTATTGTATATTAACACTTAGAAAATGAAAAAAAGTGAATAAATAATGAATAAGCAAATACTTTAAATGGCATAGGCACAGCATTTAATATTTTCCTTCAGTAGTTCTTAATTCAAAAAGTCTCTCATTTGGTAAACACTAGGAATTTACCAACATTTAGCAAATGATTTCTGTTATACATACCCTTAAAATATTTAGTCTGTTTATACTATTTACTAATTTTTTCTTTATCATAAAACTTTTATTCACATAAAAACACATTATAAAATTTAAATGTGGTTGCAGGAGCCTTCATTCCAGGAGTTCCAGTGCAGCCAATCCTCCTCAGATACCCAAACAAGCTGGTAAGCATAGTATTTTACTACTGGAAGAATTTCAATATTTCTAATAGCACAGATACTCTGGAACCCCTTTTAATAGATAAGTAAGATTGTAAACAGATAAATGGTGGAAGCCAATGGGCGAGCTTATTCTTTTTCATTAACTCTAGAAGGAAACTTTTCCTGATTCAGTGGTCATTACTAGTGAAGAAGTATTGAAATAGCAGGATAAATATGAGAGGCTTGGTCTTCCATTACTGGCTCAGTGCTTACTAATTGTGTGAGCCTTGGTAGCAAATAGATTAATTAAATAAGAAAATATCTGAGAAGAACTTAACCTTTTTTTTTTTTTTTTTTTTTTTTTTTTAGACAGAATCTTGCTCTGTCACCCAGACTGGAGTACAGTGGCGTGATCTTGGCTCACTGCAACCTCCGCCTCCTGGGTTCAAGTTATTCTCTCTCCTGTCTCAGCCTCCTGAGTAGCTGGAAATACAGGCATGCTCCACCAGGCCTTGCTAATTTTTGAATATTCAATGGAGAAAGGGTTCAACATGTTGGCCAGGCTGGTCTTGAACTCCTGACCTCAAGCGATCAACCCTGCTTGCCCTCTCAAAGTCCTGGGATTACAGGCATGAGCCACCGTGCGCAGCCTAACTTAACATCTTATATAAAGTCCAGTTGCCTCCAGAAGTGGTCTCTTCTGCTCCAGTTGAGTTACATTGTTGTCCTCTAGATATTGATTGTACCATGATTTTCCTAAAGAAAGACTTCTGAGGGAATGTTTTGGTTTTGAGAGAAACTTTCTTTACTAGAGAATTTATATAAAAAGCCAGGATATAATTATTAGTTGTCTCTACTATTTAAGATTAGGAGTTATTGATAAAATCAATTTTTATAGAGAGGCTGGTTTTTCAACCTTGGACATCTATGGCTAAAGAAAGAATTAAGATCTATTAAATTTTATTCGTTGTACTTCTGCCTATAGGTTTGAGTTTATCATATGTTCAAATTCTTTCATTTCTCCCAAATAAGCATGTTTTTTTGGAAAATTGATGCATTCTGGTTTTTTTTAAAGCAAATTAATTATCCAGATATGTTCGTATTAGAAGAAAAGTGACTAAGCATGTACAATAGTTTTTATAAAATTCAGAACATGTCGTTTCATAAAAAGTTGGTGACATTAGGAAGATCTTTGCTATGTAGATATGTTATCTAATGATATATTTATTTTACTTCTCAACATTTTGCTTTTAATTTCAGAAAATAAATACATGAATCCTTATGTTAAAATACGATCTTTATTTGGTATTTTTCCTCCAGACTAACAGCTAAAATAATTTTGTTTTTATAGGATACTGTGACCTGGACATGGCAAGGATATACATTGTAAGTCACTTGTGTCTATTATTAGTTTCTATAAATTTTATTTTAGTGAAGAAAAAGAAAGATCATTTATTCATTTTTTTCAAGTGTAATTTAAAAAATACTGTTATCTTTAAAAATGTAAAAATTTCTGATCAGAGCCTTAAATCTTATTACTGATAAATCTCTGTAGAGAGCATCACTATTTTGACCACTAACCCCTGATGTCTCCTGTATGCAAAATTCTAGTCATCTATCCTATTCAAGTGGATCTCAAGTGTTTGTCTGCTAGTTCGTAAGTGACCTAGTTTGCATCATAGTTAGCTTTAATTTTGTAGTTTTATATCCATTGCAGATTTGGCATTACCTAGTGTCTCCATTCTTACTATGTTAGTTTAAGCCATTCAGAAACATTTAGTCATATGGCCTGAAATAGCTATGAAGTGTCTGATATGAGTTGAAAAAATAGCTAACCAAGATTTCAGTTCTGCTCTTGGATTTGAAAAGCATTGGAATCAGCAGTTTCTATAAGCACTTAAGAGAGGAGAGGAATATAGTTTCATTATTAAGCAAGCTGATGTGAAGTAGGCCTTTAAAAAGAACAGAACATGTAGAAATTTGGTATCTCTCAAGACCTTTTGTTTAGTTCTCTCTGAACAAGTCTGAGCCTGTTTAAATTTTGGTGAGAGCCCTATGAAACACCTAGATCTGCAGACTTCTCCTAGGGGCTTACCCAGTTTTCATATTGTCAAGCACAAAGCTCAGATAACTTTGTTGATGGATAGGTGACAATCACTTAGAAATATTTAAGGAAATCATCAATTGCCTTCATACACATAGTAGGCATTTTTAGATACCTTCCTCATAATCCAGCCAACTTCTGAAATCAACATTTTTTACTACTGCATAATTTCTTCATTTTTTGTGTATGTAAATTGCTTTGAAATAATGTAAATCAGAATAGGTAACTGATGGGCCAGTAGAATAAATATTAATACATATGAAACATTTATATTCTTGTTATGCTTCAGTCCTTGATAATTGAAGATAAGCAAATCACACCAAAAATAAAGAACATAAATTGTAGAGGATATCTAAACAGCGTATTATCTTTCACTTACCAGGAAATCAATTTATTCGTTTGACTAAAATACATATTTCATGGCACTACTGTTTTGAATTCCTGATTGCTTTTATACATGGGGGAATTAGGAGAAACAGGTAGTATGAAAGTATTTGGGAAAATGAAGTGACTTAACAATGGATGTGTAGCATACTTCAGCTTCCTGAGGCGCGCCTTCCTCTGGGCCTTTATAGGTTAAGTTCCTAACAGAGATAGTGACTTGGGTTCACTACGTAGTCAATATGATTTTTTTTTTTTTTTGATTGCACAGTAGTCCAGGTTAATGTGGAGCTCAAATAGGAGAAAGCTTTTCTAGAAGAGGAACTGAGGATAGACAACATAATAGATGGGTTTAGTTAACCTAGCCTTCTCAACTGAGAAGTATGTGAGAAAAGGAAAAGGAAATTAGGAGAGAGAATTCAGGAATGAAAGAGAGAAAAAATATTTTGAGAGTCAAAGATTTTTCAGGACTTTTAAACAAACACAAAATCTTTAGAAGGCACAGCTTTGTTTTGTTTGAATGCCACATTGCACCTGTCTGTCTATTGCAAATCTCACTTCCACTTTTATTATTAAATCTCACTTCCACTTAATATTATTGGTAGCACTGTCTCTATTACTTCTAAGTAAGTTTTCTCAGTGACCCTTGCTCAAAGTCCTACTCCAGGCACAGATTCTAAGAAATGGATTTTATACCAAAACAAATATCCCAAGGGAAAGGTGACTCAGAATAAACTTAGAGAAGTTTTGTATCAGTTAAGAAGTATTCAATCTGTCTGTAGGGTGAACGAGACAGGTTAATTGAGATTTTGTGTGTGGTTTCGTATGTTTTACAGTATGCAGAATTTTCAGAACAGAATATGCATCTATTCAAATACTTGAATTTCACAGCTCTATTTAAATAATTAAAAGAATTTACAGTGTATAGTGTGGATTGAGTTTAAAGTTTAAATATAGTAAAAGATTTTTTTCCTTTCAGATGGAAGATTTGCAAACTAACACATAAACAATTTATAATGAATTACGAAAGTGATAGATCCACTTTCTAAATTATTTCTCTTAACTAAATTATTAAGGTCCTAAATTCCTTAAATAAGTCCCCTCAGGTATTTTTTACAGAAAAAATTATATTTTAATTTCTGAACAGTGAAAAGAGATTAGTTGGTTCTTTTCTTAAATGTGTAGTCTAATCCACTCTGCCTGTTTCTGGGTCAGTTGTCTAATGAGGCTAAATTAAAAATCCCATAGAAATCTTACCCAGAGAATCTGAATATGTACTGGAGAGCTACAAGTAGGAACAACTATTTCAAACATTATCTTTGAGAGGGTTGCTTAATAACTTTAAAGACAGTCTTTGCCTGCCTTTACAGTGAAATTTGAAACTTTTCAGATTTCCTCATAACTAAAACATTTGTAAATAACTGGGACAACTTTGCTAAATCTTCTGCTTTTAAGGAAAGGCCCATTGATTTTTTTTTTTAATGTCAAAAAGAGTTAAGAAATGTTATGATCTACCTAGGAGTTTTCTTATACACACATTTACCTACCTTAAAATATGGCCTTGGGTAGTTTCTCTAGGGACTTGGGCCTTTGAGTCTGTGTTGTCAAGGAAACTTCAAATTTGTGGTTTAGTCTGTTGAGCTGAGGCTCTCACTCAAATACATATTTAGTATTCATTTGGTGATTTAAACTTTTGAATAAAAATTGTCAAGAATACTTGTCTAACCCAGGGACAGTGGCTTATACTTGTAGTCCCAGCTACTTCGGAGACTGAGGTGGGAGAACCACCTGAGTCGAGGAGGTTGAGGCTGCAGTGAGCTGTGATTACACCACTGCACTCCAGCCTGGGTGAGAGAGTAAGACCCTGTCTCAAAAAAAAAAAAAAAAAAAAAAAAAAGAAGAAGAAGAAGAAAAAGAAGAATAGTTGTCTAGGCCCAAAAAGTGTTATTGCTGCAGCGTAGCATTTATATATGCAAAATATATATGAAGTGTGATGTGGGAGTATTTGTGTATAAAGAAATGATTGTTGAATAATATAAGATGATACTTGCATTATTGTATAAAGATAGCCCTTTCTTTTTTCTCTTCAGCATTCAGCTTTGTATGCTTACTTTCTGCCAGCTCTTCACAAAGGTAGAAGTAGAGGTAAGTCATTCAAAATGTAGCTTTGGAACTTGAGATTTGGCCTTTCCTTTAATTTTGAATTTCTAGTCTAGAGAGTCCAGACACAAAGGTCCATCACCCATAACATAAACCTTGGTGTTTTACAAATTGTGTATATAAACCTAGGCTGTCAGATTTAGCCCTTAAAATAATGTTAGAAAACACCTCTAGATTCTGGGAACTTGAAATATGTAACCACCCTGGCTGGCTAGAGGGGCATCACCTGCTCTCACTTTCTTTTTTTACTCCTTTTAATGCTGACCTCTGCCAAATTGAATATGTTTCCGCATCCTAACAAAAGGAGCTGACCATAGGTGATAGAGCCCCACACCTCCTTAAAAAAAAAAGTTTTGTGAAAGCTAAGAGATGCTACTTGGGGTCTAGGGGAGAGGCATAGGAGTCAAAAGCCCTCACTGTGAAATCACTGTGCACATGAAAAGCCCAAGGAAATTATAACATCATTCACAGGACAGTCCTGGTTTGAGTTACAGTGGCAAGTAGTGAGAGAGGTGTTACTACAGCATTCTGAAAATTTTGACCAGGTTTTTAAGGCTCTAAAGGTTGGTTCCAGAGCTGTTCTTAGTTTCTAAATATGATGTACAGTAGACCTCAGAATTCAGAATTCAGTGGGTTTTAGCAATACCCTCAGGTAGTCTCTGAAGAGAGACAGTTTGATTGTGGGTCTCCTGGATTTTCTAATTGCATCCATGAGTTGTGTAATGAAAACCTTATACAGAGTTCTGAGTGGGGACTACTGCCTAAGTGACAGGACTGTGGAATTTAATTCACAGTAATACTATTTTGCTTTGTTGGATAGCTTAGTGATTTGGCCATTTAGAGATTGTCAGCAATTCCAAATGAGTTAGGAGGGCAAATTACATTTCAGAATGAGTTTAGTGAAAATTTCTTGAGATTTGCCCGTTTTCTGCCTGTCTTGAAAAATATCTGTTTATTAAGTATATTTTGCACCTCCCCACTTTGAAAACCAGCTCAGTGTCTCTCATTGTGGCCAAAAAACCCCACATTTGTGCTTGAGTTTTTCTTAGAGGTTCCTGAGGGAAAAAAAAACTAATTTAATAAGTTTAAGAAGTATTAAGGTAAACAAAATGAATTTTTTTTTCTCAAGACTACTCAGTGCCTTTGAAATGTCTGACTTATAGAACCATTTTCTCTGAATATCTCCCAGAACCAGTGTTCTGTAGAATGCATTTCAGGAAGCTCTATATGCTAATATTTCTAAATACTCTGAACACTGCTCTTGCTTCTTTAAGAGCTGCTCAGGTGGTCTAGGCCTGTTTTACTTTTCTAAAAAAGCAAGAAAATTCTTACTTTTAAAAAGCCATGCTGTCTTCTCTGCAAGACATTGTCTCCCTCTCAATTTATCTCTCTCTAGCTACAAGATCTAACAACAGATGTAAAAATGTACACAGAGCTATCCTTTTTTGACTTAGCATGTCAGTGGTCAAACTGCATTACAACAGAGGTATTCAGATTCCTCTTTTTTTTTTTTTTTGCCATGACCATTATTACCACATTTCCTTTCTGTGTCATGACTTTCTTTTTTTTTAAACATTATAATATCTGCGTTCTCCAGCTAGTTCTGAGACCTGTTTGGATTGTATTTTTCTGGCAAAGAAAACAATGTAGTCTTTGTTCCATAATTCACAAATAAAATGACTTTCAGCTGCATGGAAATAGCTGCATCAACAAAGATTTGATGAATTAGAATTGTGATGCAGAACAAGAGGATGAGAATTTGTGGACTTCAAATTTAGTACAGATATTCTTATTTTCATTATGTTTATTTTAAATTTATGATTCTCCCTTCCACCCAGATGACTCCTAATACTTTATGATATTTTGATTTTTTTTATTGCATTTTAGGTTTTGGGGTACATGACACACTGGGGTCTGTTGGGGATATTTTGATATTTTAATACTCACTTTTGGATTTAACTGAAAATGCATCCCAGCAGCCCTTCTGGCTCTAAGTATACCACACCCTGGCTTGAGGCTCTGAAGAACTGGACCATCTCTGAGGTGCCAGCTTTTCCACCGTGTCTGCTGAGGCCCATCTTGAGATTGGTTTGTGGTCTGGGTACATTTAGTTGCTCCAGTTTCAATTGTCTTGGTTGTTCTCAAGTAACCCCCCCTTTTTTTTTTTAAATTGATGGAAATCTTTGCTATTATCTTATTTTAAACATGGTTTTGGAACTTCTTGAATATTAGGTAAACCTAATTCAAGATATATTATTCAAGAATATGGTATTAATTTTATGGGTTTTAAATTGAACTTTGAGTGAATTGTTAAAGTGCCTTTTAGACACTCTTGCTTTTGTGAGTCACATGACATCCCATTATGTTGCCTGCCATATCCTTTAGTTTCACAAGTCTCCCCTCAGTAATGATGATTACCAAACCCTTTAATTACCAAAATCATTACATATCTAAGATGTAATGAATCTAATATTTAGGAATATTTTCTTACCACCTCTTCCCAGCCCGCTCTGCTTCCCAACATAGAGATATACCGTATTTTTGAAAAGGTTATTATTTTCTCAGCTCTTGGAACATAAAAATATCCTAAGTTCTGGCTGGGCGTGGTGGCTCAAGCCTGTAATCCCAGCACTTTGGGAGGCCGAGGCGGGCAGATCACGAGGTCAAGAGATCGAGACCATCCTGGTCAACATGGTGAAACCCCATCTCTACTAAAAATACAAAAAAATTAGCTGGGCATGGTGGTGCGTGCCTGTAATCCCAGCTACTCAGGAGGCTGAGGCAGGAGAATTGCCTGAACCCAGGAGGCGGAGGTTGTGGTGAGCCGAGATCAGGCCATTGCACTCCAGCCTGGGTAACAAGAGCAAAACTCCGTCTCAAAAAAAAAAAAAAAATATTGTAAGTTCTAAACCTAATGTGCTATGTAATTGTTCTTCTGACATCCTTGAAAAATGATAAAGATGTGTGTCTACAGAATGGTTCTACTAAAAGTTATTCTTTGAATTGTAATGTGGCATAATGGGCGTTCTTAAAGTATCTTTTAGTCATACTTTTATCAACCAGCTACTTCACAAATATGCCTTTTTAAAGATAAGGCTTGGGATAGAGGAAATAAGATAGCTAGTAGGAAGCATTGCAAAAGTGACATAAATGAAGAGTCTGCCAGTTTATCTCATGAGAGAGAATACATGCTAAATCAGACTATAAAACACTAAGTGGACAGCAGCTAGTTTATGAATGGAAACTAGCCATTCACACTAACTGTGCAGTCAGTTTCCTTCATAGTCTATATCTCAGTTTGTATTCAAAGCATGTTGACTTTAGAAGCCATGTATATATATTATAGATACATAAAAATTGTCTGTACTGGGCATATTAAACAGAGAATAAGTCCTCCCTTATCTGTAGGGGATATGTTCCAAGACCCCCAGTGAATACTTGAAACTGCAGAACGTACCAAACCGTGTATATACTAAGATTTTTCCTAAACATGCATACTTCCAATAAAACTTAATTTATAAAATAAGCACAGTAAGAGATTAACAGTAATAACCAATAATAAAATAGAACAGCTGTAACAATATATATAATAAGAGTTGAATATGAATGTGGTCTCTTTCTCTCTCTGTCAAAATCTCATTGTACTTTACTCATCCCTCTTCTTGTGATGAAGAAAGGATGGAGCAGGATGGCATGAACTTTTGTCACCCTATTCAGAATGGCCTGCAATTTAAACTTATGAATTTTTTATTTCCAGAATTTTCCATATAATGTGTTTAGACTATGGTTGACTGTTGGTACCTGAAACCATAGAAAGCAAAACCCCAGATAAGGGAGACTACTGTATTTTCTTTAGGAAAATTCCTCTACAAAGCTCATAGCGAGCTTGTAGTAGCTAGCATTAGGCCTAAAATACTTTGTGGTGGGCAATTCATTTCCTTAAAGTAATAGAAAAGTTTTTTTTTTTTAATTTAAAAAGAATGTCTGATTTAGGAAAGGATTGTAATTAATAAGGAGTATTATGATCAACAGCTCTACATATATATCACTTTTAAGATCTTTAGAGAACTAATTACTTAGGATAAGATTCAAAGACATTTATATAGTTTATTTAAATATCCAAATGCACTAAATTATTTGTAGTTTTTAATCTAAAATGAGCCTTTTAGAAAACCTCAATCACACAACTACACACACACACACAGACACACACACATGCCCTACATATATACTTGTTCTAACAAAGCTAATTTTGTCTGAAACTTGGTAATATTCTGTAATTTGTCAATGCTAAATAGAGAAACTGAGCGTTATAAAAAGGGTGTTAACTGGAGTTTTTCTTCTGATCCTGTTACTACCTACCTCTGTGTGCTTGAGAAAATTAAACCTTTCTAAGCCTGTGTTCTCACTGGAAAAATGGGATAATGACACCTAATTTATAGAGTTTTGCGGATGAATAAGGTTACTCATGTGCTGGCACATAGTTAAGTGTTCAATAAGCACTAACTTTTACTTTCCATCTCATCTAGATGTTTCTGTTCTTTTGGAAAGGAAGCAGCAAGCGTTGTTTATAAATATCTTTCTTCTTTTGCATTTTTTTCCTCTTCGAAGATTTAAAAGAAGAATTATAGAAAGAACTAGAAATGCATGTTTAGGATTGTCCTTTTAAAATTCATTTCTGTTACAAGCAAAAAATAAAAGATTTATTATGTATCATAATTCCTCAATCTACCTCTTCCTTATCATTCATTTAGTAGAAAGAAATGTGCTTGATGTGGTTAAGAAAAAAATGAATAAACTAGCTTTAGTGACACTGAGCGTTTATGTAAGTGACTGGCTCTGGTTGATGGACGTCTTAAATAATAGACTGAAGAATTTTGTTATCTTGCTTGTATGCAATTTAAGGCCCAAGAGGAAGTAGGGGACTCTGGGACCAAAAGCACAAACAAGAGATGTTAACCCGAGAAACATGTTGATGAGTCTCTTCCTTATCTGGGACAGGATGCTGCAAAGTTAAATATGGTGAAGGTACGGAGAATATGGTATTTGAAAAGAGAGGGGAGTGGAGCTGTGAAGCCAGTTTCAGGTGCAAAAAAAAAAAAAAAAAAAGAGTAAGTTCACATAAGCTGTCTTGTTTATAAAGTTGAAAGTGAAATGTCATTTATCCAGGAAGAATGAGGTAAAAGTTCAATTGCATCTTGAAAAGCATGGAGCATATGTACCACTGTTGGCATCTCTCGGTGGTCCCTAACAGGAATATGAAGGCAAGATCAGAAGAGGTGGCTGAGGGTGTGTGATTGGCACTGTGGGCGTGGCAGAAGTGAAAGATTCTGAGTAACAGGTGGTACAGAAGCTTCTGACTCTCAAGTCCGGTTTTGATAGGCAGGGAGATGTTGCCAGAGGGAGTGGATGAAGAGGGATGATTAGATCCAGATGTGACCATTAGGTTGTCATGGTCTATGAAAGACCAGATTAGGGGAGAAATAAACACTAATGGATAATGAGGAAAAACTGATGAAGAACTTATCAGAGATTAGAGTCATAAGTTTATTTCCATGGGTGAATTAGAGTTGAGAAGAATATCTGTGGCCAAGATGTCAAGCAGATCATCAGTGTAAGTACGGAGGATACTGAGAGAAGATGAAGTTACAAAGGAAAACTTGGTTGCTTGAAGTCATTGGGATATAAAGATGTGTGTTGGGAGCCATAAAAGATAGTGGCAATGATGTTCCCCTCTCTTTGATTGATTTTCCTTTCCAGATAAAGGATACATGCATACTGTGAGCCTTGAATGACTGTACAAAATGGAAATGTGATATAGAGGGCAAGGTCTTACCCTAGAAGAGGTGACTTTTTATTAGAATTTCCACTGAATTGCTTCTCAGGAGGAATGGGGCCTCCAAGGCCCATGGGTGTCAAATTTAGGATTTTAATTATTTTGTACTCTCAATGGAACTTATTTCCTTAAGAGTAAAATGCTATGACAATATGAGAGTTATTAAAAATCATTTTATGAAAAATACTACCTGCACTAATAGAAACTAAACCCATATTTCATTGTATTATGTTTGATTAACAGTATAGCAGCAAATTATTTTTCAAGGTTTTCAGTATGTACTTTTATGACCTACAAATCAAGTGTATTATAAGTGGTTGTTTGGCCTTTTTAAAAAATGAAGAATTATTTGGCAATTTGAAACTTTAATTTCTTACACTGTTTTGTTAGAGATTTTATGAACATTAATTTCAACTTTCTGGGTTTTTTTTTTTTTTTTTTTTTTTGAGACCGAGTTTCACTCTTGTTACCCAGGCTGGAGTGCAATGGCGCGATCTTGGCTCACCGCAACCTCCGCCTCCTGGGTTCAGGCAATTCTCCTGCCTCAGCCTCCTGAGTAGCTGGGATTACAGGCATGTGCCACCATACCCAGCTACTTTTTTGTATTTTTAGTAGAGATGGGGTTTCACCATGTTGACCAGCATGGTCTCGATCTCTTGACCTCGTGATCCACCCGCCTTGGCCTCCCAGTGCTGGGATTACAAACTTGAGCCACCGCGCCCGGCCTCTGTTTTTTTTTTTTTTTTTTTTTTTTTTTTTTTTATGTCATACTAAGCAAATGCAAGAAATTTTGCTAGATCAGGATGCACAGAATTTTTAGAAATATTTCTTTGCAAAGATAGTTATTCTAGATATATAAGGATGTGGGGACCTCTGGTGGCTTAGTTTATTTTTTCATATTAAAAAACAACTATGCAAAATAGAGAGCCACACATAGAATTCCAACTGGGAAGGACTTTAGAGATCATTTAGTTAAATTTTTTTTTGTTTGACAGGAGAGGGCACTGAGGCTCATAAAGGCTAAATGACTTTTCCAGGATCACACAGCAGATCTCAAGCAGCAACCCAGTCCAAGAACTCTTTCTGCAGTATGTGGCTGCCCTCTTAAGAGAGAAAGTAATCAGATAAAAGTGAAAAGTAAAAATGTCCTATAACATATTGTTCTATAATTTCTATACATTTTATCAAAAAATGCAACTTGCATCCATGCCATCCTCCACATCCTCATTCCCTCTCCTGAAGGTCTTGTTCTCTCTCTCATGATTGCAGTTGCTTCCAGACATTCTTCCTACTCTTAGTCCCTTCTTTGGGGCATACCCTGAAGTTACTACTCAAAAACTTGGACCTGGTCATGTCATTCCCTTGCTTAAACATCACCTCTGAGATACCAATGCTTACAGCTTTCTTAGTATAATTGACAAGATTTGAAAACAGGTTTAGATGGGGGAAAAACAATATTTTTAACTTCTTCTATTTGCATTCTTTATTTATCAAATGGAAGTGGTAGGATTTACTTCAAGGAATTGTTCAGAGAGTTAATCATATAAAGCCCCTAATATAAAATACCCAGCACACAGTAGACGCTTAATGGATGGTAACTCTTATTGGTGAATTTAGCCCATTGTTTCATAAATTTCTACTCTACTGCATGGACAGCTTCTTGAGGTCAGGGACTTTGTTGTTGTGTTTTTAGGGCTTAGTGCAGTGCCTGAGCACCTATTACGGAAGAAGAATTAATGAAATAAAGTAATGTATGTAAAACACCTAGCATGATGTCCTGTTTGTGGTTATAATTCAATAAACATAACTATTGGCAAAATCTCACTTAACCTTCAAAAGCAAAGATTAAGTATTAGTTCTTCTATAGAGTATCCTTAACAGAATTAGGTTTCTGGTGGGCACTCTGTCTTCCTCTTTGGCTGCATTTCCCTTGCCCCTGACAAAATTAATCCTTTCCTACCTCTTGCTCCCATACTCCTGGAAGGATGGTTAGTGGGGAAAATAAGGTTTTTTGAATCTGACAAATCTTGGGCTGAATTCTGGCCATGTGACTTGTATGCATTTAGGTAAGTTAATTAAGCTATTGAGCCCCATCTATAATTGGGAATAATAAGGGTAATGACACTTAGCATATGGGGTTATTAATATGTTGGTCTATCTTATTAAAATATTGATCTTCTTTAGAGCAGGGAATAGGGTCCTATTAATCTTGCCTTGTATATAGTAGGTGCTGAAAAATATGTAATGACTTGAATATGGCGCTAAAACCTTGTTAATGTTAGAAAACCATAAATAAAAACAAGAACAGAACAATTGAGGCATCACAGAACATCAAGTGTAGAAAAAGTATAATTAAAAATGCTAAAGCAAAAAATGGTGTTAAGCGAAAACTGTAAAGACAATACTAAGAGTTTTTTATTAAAGCAAAATAAATGATAAAACAAAGTTCAAACAAATAGTGAAAACTATGAAAGACAAAAATAAAAGAAAAACGTTTTCACATGAAGGGTTGGGAGTGGTAGAAAAATGCAGTTCTAGGAGTAAGATCTTAGTAGTTACAGCTTTACACTTCCAGAATTCCGGGCACTGGTTCATTTCACCCTCACAATCACCAGAAAAGTAGTGATCATAAACCTCTTTTTAGAGTTGAGGAGTTGGTTCAGCAAAGTTAAATGACATACTGGTTAACACACAAGCATCAGGGCTTAAAAACAGATCCCTGAGTCCAAGACCAGTGCCCCATTACCTCATGTAACCTATGTTCTAGAAAGGTAGATGATTTAATATATTGATAATTTAAAAATTAATTTACTTAGCATTTAATGTCTTAGGCTTAAGACATTGTTATGGAAAGGTATATTTGTCTTTCAGTTTATGCCTGTTCAAATACCAAATGATGAAGAAAAAAATGATCCTGTCCTTTTTGCCAGTAGAGTCCGGAATTTAATGGCAGAGTAAGTGTCTTTATGTGATTATAACTCATAAATAATTTGAAAGTTATTTCTACATGGTATTTAACTAGTTTTAAGGGGGTTTTCCCCCCTGAAGGCCTTGTTCCCCAACTCATTTTGGTACATAAAATAATGTTCCAAGAGACGAGGTCAGTATAACAATCTATAAATGTTTTACCCAGCTACATACCCCAAATAAGGAAATACAACTGAAGAAGGTACAATAACCAGAAAAGACCAGAATCTGCTCTCGACAGGGTAGATTCTCTCAAGCTGGCCCGCCACTGTCAGATGAGCCTTGTGATGATCTGTGGTTCCCGCCATGGCCCATCTTCTATTCCCTTCATATAGCTGCCCAAGGCTGTGTTTCTAAGGCATTACTGACTATAGCACCAAAAAAGAGAAAGTTTGCAATGGAAAAAGATGCATAGAAGAGGGAAAAAGTCACCCTTCATAGATGGCTATAAATTAGGATTTAGAAACTATAAAACATAAGGTTAATATTTTCCGTCACATAAGGGAGTTCTAACTGGCCATTACTCTGACTAGATAAATCACCCCTATCTTGTAATGAAAGAATGTATTATACTCTACCACCACCCAGGCAGCCTCAGAGCCCTCCAGACATGCACCCTCTCCCCACATATTACCTTCTTCATTCCCAGTAGTAAGTTTGGAGCTAATAGACCAGCAACGTTTATTCTCTTAGTAAAAATTCAAGGAGAACTCTGAATTTAGCTTCGTAGCTGAATTTAGGTTTATAGCCAGATTTCATATATATAGCCAGCCATGTATATATGTATATGTATGTGTCTCTGTAAGTATATGTTTTGTTCTAATATATGTACCTTAATGTTTTTCTGCAGAATAACTATCTTCAAAATAGAATAATATTTGGCAAAAAAATTTGCTATTAAGTGTATATAGGTGTGCTTGTTTTATCTAGTGTTTAGACCACCTACAAAGTTAATGTTTATGTTATTTTCCTTTCTTCCTTTCATGTTTCATGTCAGCTTATATCCAAAAGGTAGAAAGCAAGATAAGTATTAGAAATTGAGAACATGTAACCCAGAACCTAAAGTAAATTTTTTAAAAAAAGAAAGAAATTGAGAGAACTGGGCCAGGTGTGCTGGCTCATATCTGTAATCCCAGCACTTTGGGAGGCAAAGGTGGGCAAGTTACTTAAGGTCAAAAGTTCATGACCAGCCTGGCCAACATGGTGAAACCCCATCTCTATTAAAAATACAAAAATCAGTTGGGGTGGTGGTGGTGGTATATACCTGTAATCCCAGCTACTTGGGAGGCTGAGGCAGGAGAATCACTTGAACCAGGGAGGTGGAGGTTGCACTAAGCCAAGGTTGAGCCATTGCCTGGGCAACAGAGTAAGACTCTGTCTTAAAAAAAGAAAGAAAAGAAAAAGAAATTGAGAGAATTTATGTCAGATATTTTGGCTTCCCAAATTTTACCTAAAAGCAAGAGAAGAGTTTTGTTTAGACAGTCTTTCTAACTTCGAAGGTGTGGAGGTAGTAATGGCTTGTGATAAAGAGTAAGAAAGACCTTGATTAGCTGCACAACCCCGGACAAGTCTCCTCCAAGTCCCCTTCTCCTCACATGTGAAATGGGAGTTAAAATCATTGCCTTGTCTTTCTCATGGTTTTGATTATTAGGAGACTCAAGTAGGAAAGTATATGATAAAAGCATTTGAAAACACAAGTACTGTGGGAGGCCCTTAAGTTATTTAACAATATCTTTACATCAACTGTATGATGTAAGGAAGAAAGCTGACTCAGGGAGGTGAGTAGTTTGCCTAAAATCACACTAGGTAGTGACTGTCTGAGCTGGAACTCAAATCCTCACTCCTGTTACCAAAGCCCAAGCTCTTAACTATTATACTATACAATTTATTATTATATTATTATAATGCCCAATATTTTAAAATTTATTTTTCTGTCTGATATATTCTTATACCAAAATATTTATTCATCAAAGAGCTTAGAAAAAGTATTTTATATAGGAAAAAATGTTTTATTCTGATTGTATTCATTCAAAATTTAATGTTTCTAGCAATGATTCAACAAAATCCAATACAATTTAAAGACATAATTTTATGATTTTCACTGAATATTTGTGAATAAAAACTTAGTGAGGAATCTCATGTGCTGCACAATCTTTTTTTTTTGGTATTCAGTATTTTTCCAGTTCTTATAAATGTGTAATCTAATTAGCTATCATTTAATCTGTAAGCAGTAGTGAAGTAGGAACTAGGATTCATACTCTTCCTTAAGGATGGAGAATTTTTAGGTTTAGAAGAAATATCATCCTATTATAAATTTGCTTCAATATTTTTGGAAGATTGCTATGTAGCAACAAGGTGATCTCTGGCTATAAAAGATGAAAAAACATAGACAGCTAGCAGTTTGAATAGATTGTTTACTTACCCTATGTACAAATCCAATTTATCTGCTTATTTATTTATTTTTTGAGATGCGGTCTCCCTCTGTCACCCAGGCTGGAGCGCAGTGATACCATCTCAGCTCACTACAACCTCTGCCTCCTGGTTTCAAGCAGTTTTCCTGCCTCAGACTTCTGAGTAGCTGAGACTACAGACATACCACCACCACGCCCGGGTAATTTTTTTATTTTTAGTGGAGATGGGGTTTCACCATGTTGGCCAGGCTGGTCTTGAACTCCTGGCCTCAAGTGATCTACCTGCCTTGGCCTTCCAAGTGCTGGGATTACAGGCATGAGACACTGTGCCCAGTTCCATTTATCTGTTTAAACAGTACCTCCACAGGCATTCTTCTTACATCCTTACAATAACCATTTGGAATAAGGATAGTATTCATTCCTGTGTACAGATGAGAAAAGTGAGGCTTCATTCACAGCTGGTAAAAAACTCCACTAGGACTTTAACCTAAGTCTTTTAATTACTTTTCATGAGACTGAAGGCAACTGTTATTATTGTTATAGTTAAAACACAAAACAAAAATTATCAGCCACATAGACAGAAGCATGTAGATATAAGTAGATTAACTTGGTCTTCGGTAAATCTGTAAAAAAAGTGAAGAAATATGTCTCTTTGTGAATAAAAGCCAGCATTACTGGTTTAAAAAGTAGTAAATACTTTTGCATTTGCTGTTGTTTGGAACCAATTAAAGCCTAATGAAAAATGACTACTTTTTTTAAAAATTGAATTTTAGTTTTCTTCTTGATACTTTTAGAGCTCTGGGAATACCAGTAACAGATCATACCTATGAAGATTGCAGATTGATGATTTCAGCAGGACAGCTAACATTGCCTATGGAAGCTGGACTTGTGGAATTTACTAAAATTAGTCAGAAATTGAAGTAAGTGGATTTTAAAATGACTATACTTTCATAAAGATGTTCAAAGGGGATCTGAAGTCCTGTCTGTTTATTTTCTCCTGCTTTATTAATGCCCAGCTCTAGGACCCACTTGGTGTTTGTTAGGAAAGTCGGAGTTGTAAATTTATCTCACATTTTTATTCATCTACTTTTGCTTTTTCAAGAACAGTTATCTCAGAGATGTGTGCATTGGTCACAGGAGGAGACCAAGGGATAAAAAATGTGGATCCACACAGACCTGCCTCCCTACTCAGAGAGAGTTAGTGGCTCAGAGAAGTTAGTCTTGCAACCTGCTTACAAGAAGGACAGCATCATTAGATGATACTGGCATGTAGTGGTCAGAACTTTACATGTGAAACATGAATTGACTTGTATAGTTGCAATTCTGACCATCACTGAATTTTAAATACTTGCCCTAGGTCTTTTTTTCTGGATACCTATTTTCCTTTAAAAAAAAGGCAAACATTCTTCTTTGTGCTCTTATAATTTAGTTTAAACCATTGACAACATTCTTTTTGAGCTATTTTCTATAAAAGGTGTAACCTTCAGCCTCCCTTTACTCTTATTATAGTTCATTCTGTTCTCAACCCTATCTGGAATTTGCAGAATTTATTAATTAATATCTTCTCCATGAAGGAGCTATAGAAAGTTACTATATTAAAGTTCAGTATTAAAGTATAATATTTTGATAACTGATATAGAAAATGTTATTTATATCTTAAGATAACAAAAGTGTTTTGCTTTTATTTTGGTCACAATGTTATATAGATATAAAAAGTTTAGAGAGTCACTAAAATTGGGCTAAGAAGTATATGTTAATTCATTTGTTTAATTCTACAAAGCAAAGATAGGATATGATGTAAGCTACAGTACATTTTCCAGTGTTTTATCACCATGGCTTTTCATAACTAATCTTGTAGGACATGTGTATCATCTAATGAATCCTCCATCATAACATTTTGTGAAATATGAATTCACTATCAGCCTGAAAGCTTCTTGAAAGCAAGAATTAAAAACCTAATACATAACTATAGATTTACTAAGATTATGTTTACATTTTTAAAATTTTGCTTTCTTATTTTCTTCTCATGAGTCATTTATTGTTTCACTACAATGTTCTTCTCATTTACTTTTATTTCCCTGAGATATTTGAGGTAATTGTCAGTTATACAAGTATCCTTTAAAAGATTAAACACCTGCATATATGTTCAATATGTGCTTTTAAATACCTATTCTATTCTCCTTTACAAATTTAACACTTAAAATATTTTTTTCTCAGATACATTAACAAAGTAATGGTCATAAAATGTCCATGTCAATTGTAAAGGGCTAATAACATGTATCTATAATTCTTTGTTTCTTTAGATTAGATTGGGATGGTGTTCGTAGGCATTTGGATGAATATGCATCTATTGCGAGTTCCTCAAAAGGAGGAAGAATTGGAATTGAAGAATTTGCCGAGTATTTAAAGTTGCCTGTTTCAGATGTCTTGAGACAACTTTTTGCACTCTTTGACAGGGTATGTTAAAATTTAATCTCTCACATTTTCACTCTGTCAGTCCTACAGTGCAAAAATGAATATGGTAGGCAGTTTGGAAAACTTGATAGTTCAGCTTTAGAAGAATCAAGGCTGAGCCTATGGTTTATTTGCATGATTTTGTTTTTTCTTCTTAATAGTGATAATAATTGTGTGTGTATTATGTTTATTATAGTGTCATAAAAAGTATCTATTATTTTAAATACCAGGTCAGAAATAAATATTGTAATCATATAACCACATATGTAGTGTGAAATTGGAAGAGTTTATATAATTGGCAGGAATTTTAAAATGTATATTAAAAATCATTGATGACATAGGTGTTAAAATTCTATCTGAAGGTTTTAGACTTCCCCAGACCTGTATGAAGACCAAATAGATTTTTATTTTCAAGTGACATTTTGTAACAAAGATTTTAATTAAAATCTGGCCATTTGTCATTATATTGGGGATACAGTTTGCTGCTTATGAATATTTAAGTACATGCAATTAGATAATTGCATTGTCAATAAGTTTCCTTAGGAAAACTGTATCATGACATCAGGTTTTCCATTAAAAATTTTTTTTTAATATATAAAATTGATAGTATATAGAAACTAGCCAGGCATAGTGATGCGTTGCCTGTAATACCAGATACTTCAGGAGGCTGAGGTGGCAACCTCAGCTTGACCCAAGGAGGTCAAGGGGTCAAGATGGCTTGACCCCAGGAGGCGGAGGTTGCAGTGAGCCAAGACGGTGGCACTGCATTAAAGCCTGGGCAACAGAGCAAGACCCTATCTCAAAAAAAAATGATGGTAAAATGCACTATTTTGGTTACAGTTCTATGAGTTCTAATAAATGCACAGAAACATATAACTACTACTGCATTCAAGATACAGAACAATTTAAAAAATACATATATTTTCTTGTAGCTATTCTGTTTTTAGTCAAGCCGTTCCCACAGTTTTAACTCCTGGCAGTCACTGATCTGTTCTTCATCTCTATAGTTTATGTTTTTCCAGATGTCATATAAATGGAATCATGCAATATATAGTTTTTTGTGTATGATTTCTTTCACTGAGCACAATGCATTTGAGATTCAGGCCTGGTGTTTTATATATAAATAATTAGTTCTCTTTCATTGCTGAGTAGTATTCCATTGTATGGATGTACTATAGTTACTTTATCTATTCCCTAGTTGAGGAACATTTGGTTTGGGTGCAACTGGGGGCAAATATGACTATAGCTGTCATCCTAAACATTTGTATATAGGTTATTATATAAATGTAGGTTTTCATTTCACTTGGCTAAATACTTAAGAGTATGAACCCTTTATTTTCTCTTATGTGAGATATTTTGCATTCATTCTGAAAGATATTTTTGTTGTCCAGGCAGGTCTTGGAGATGTTTGGGGTTTGGTTCCAGATCACTGCAATAAAGGCAGTATCACAATAAGTGAGCCGTATGCAGTTTGTGGTTTCCCAATGCATAGAAAAGTTTATTTATAATATATAGTTGTCTAGTGAATATACAATTGTATTGTATCTAAATAAACAATGTGTATACTTTAATTTAGAAATACTTGACTGCTAAAAAAATGTGAGAAGTCATCTGAGGCTTCAGCAAGTTGTAATCTTCTTGCTGGTGGATTATCTTGCCTCAGTGGTGATGCCTGCTAACTGATCAGGATGATAGTTGCTGAAGATTGGGCTGGTTGTGGCACTTTTTAAAAATAAGACAACAGTGAAGTTTGCTGCATTGATTGACTCTTTCTTGCATGTAAGATTTCTTCATAGCCTGGGTGCAGTGGCTCATATCTGTAATCCCAGCAGTTTGGGAGGCCAAGGTGGATGGATCACATGAGGTCAGGAGTTCGAGACCAGCCTGACCAATGTGGTGAAACCCTGTCTCTTCTAAAAATACAAAAATTAGCTAGGCATGGTGGTACATCCTTGTTAGCCCAGCTACTTGGGAGGCTGAGGCAGGAGAATTGCTTGTACCTGCGCGACGGAGGTTGCAATGGACTGAGATCGCCCCATTGCACTCCAGCTGGGGCAACAAGAACAAAACTCCATCTCCTAAAAAAAAAAATTATTTGTAGTATTTGATGCCATTTGATAGCATTTTACCACAGTGTAACTTCTTTCAAAATTGCAGTCAGTCATCTCAAAACATGTCATTGCTTTAGCAATTTAGTTCATGTAATAGTCTAAATCCTTTGTTGTCATTTTTTGACCGTGTTCACAGTATCTTCATCAGGCATAGTTTCCATTGCAATAACCCACTTTCTTTGGTAATCCATAAGAAGGAAATTCTTATCCATTCAAGTTTTATCATGAGATTGCAGCGATTAGGTCACATATTCAGGCTCTATTTTTAATTCTAACTTTCTTGGTATTTCTTCCACATCTGCAGTTACTTCCTCCACTGAGGTCTTGAACCCCTCAAAGTCATCCATAAGGGTTGCAATTGGTTTCTTCCAAACTCTTATTAATATTGATAAGTTGACCTCCTTCCATGAATCATGAATATTCTTAATGGCTTCTAAAATGGTGAATCTTTTCCAAAAGGTTTTCAATTTACTTTGCCCAAATCCATCAGCAGAATCACTAGCTATGGCAGCTGTAGCCTTTTAGTATTTACTGATGGCAGCTATAGTCTTACAGTATTTCTTAATAGGATTTTAAAGTCGAAATTACTCCTTCATCTATGGGTAGCAGAATGGATGTTGTGTTAGCAGGCATGAAAACATCATCCTCCTTGTACGTCTCCATCAGAGCTCTTGGGCAATTAGGTGCATTCTCAGTGAGCAGTAATATTTTGAAAGGAATCCTTTTTTCCTAAGCAGCAGGTCTCAACAGTGTTCTTAAAATAATCTTTAAATCATCCCATGAACAAATGTGCAATCATCAAGGCTTTGTTCTTTCATTTATAAAACACAGATAGAGTAGACTTAACATAATTTTTAAGGGCCCCGGAATTTTCAGAATGGCAAATCATTACAGAATATGGCAGGGACATGCAAATCAGGACAGGAGACAGGGAAATAGGAAGGAACATGAAACAGGGACAAAGAATGAAGTTTATAGAACATCTTAGACATTGTGCTCATCAGGATTTTTTTTTTTTTTTTTTTTTTTTTTTTTTTTTTTTTTTTGAGACGGAGTTTCGCTCGTTACCCAGGCTGGAGTGCAATGGCGCGATCTCGGCTCACCGCAACCTCCGCCTCCTGGGTTCAGGTAATTCTCCTGCCTCAGCCTCCTGAGTAGCTGGGATTACAGGCACACGCCACCACGCCCAGCTGATTTTTTGTATTTTTAGTAGAGACGGGGTTTCACCATGTCGACCAGGATGGTCTCGAACTCTCGACCTCGTGATCCACCCGCCTTGGCCTCCCAAAGTGCTGGGATTACAGGCTTGAGCCACCGTGCCCGGCTCATCAGGATTTTTAATCAAAATTAAAATTTAAAGTCACCAGCTGTATTCTCCCCTAACAAAAGGATCAGTGTGTCTTAAGCCTTAAAGCCAGACATTAACTGACTTCTCTCTAGCTATGAAAGTCCTAGATGGCGTTTTCTTTCATTAAAAGACCGTTTCATCTACACTGAAAATCTTCATCAATGATCTTAGCTTGATTTTCTGAATAACTTGCTGCAGCTTCTCTATCAGCACTTGCTGCTTTACCTTGCACTTTCTTGTTATGGAGACAGCTTTTCTTAAACCTCATGAACCAATCTCTGCTAGCTTTAGTCTTTTCCTCTGCAGCTTCCTCACCTCTCTCAGACTTCATAGAATTGAAGAGAGTTGGAGCCTTCTTCTGAATTAGGCTTTGGCTTAACGAAATCTTGTGGCTGCTTTGATCTTCTATCCAGACTATTCAAACTTTCTCCATAATAGCAATAAGGTTGTTTCACTTTCTTATCATTTATGTGTTCACTGGGGTAGCACTTTTAATTTTCAAGAACTTTCCTTTGCATTCACAACTTGGCTGTTTGATGCAAGAAGCCTAGCTTTTGACCTGTCTTGGGTTTTAACATGCCTTCCTCACTAAGCTTAATCATTTCTAGCTTTTGATGTAAAGTAAGAAATGTGTAACTGTTTCTTTCACCTGAATACTTAGAGGTTGTCATAGGATTATTACTTGGCCTAATTTCAATATTGTTGTTCAGTATCCCTCCAGTGAACAGGGTGGGACCAAGGAGGGTAAGCAAGACTGGGAATGACCAGTCAGTCCATGGAACAATCAGAATACACGCAACCTTTATCAAATAAGTTTTCCATCTTACATGAGCAGAGTTTGTAGTGCTCCAAAACAATTATAATAGTAGCATCAAAGATCACTGATTACTGATCACCATAGCAGATATAATAATAACAAACATTTTTTGAAATATTAGGAGAATTACCAACATGTGACACGAAGACAGGAAGTGAACATGTGCTGTTGGAAAAATGGTGCTAATAGACTTGCTCATGCAAGTTTGCTACAAATATTCAAATTGTTTCAAAAAAACATTATCTGTGAACTGCAGTAAAGCAAAGAACAATAAAATGAGATATGCCTGTATATAGAATTCTGAGTTGACTGTTCTTTTCTTTCCACAGTTTAATAATATCTTACCTTAATATGGCCCCCATGGTTTTGTAGCCTTACTAGTTCTTCAAATGTTGACTTTTCTCACCAAATCCTTCTCCTATGCTATTTTGTCCAGAGGTAGTTGCTTTTTGTATTTTGTTCAGAGTTTCTAGTTATAGTCGAGAATGATAGGCTGGCTAAAGATTCCATCCATCTTGGCGTGCAGCAAAATTTCCAGTTTTATGTTTACAATTGAAAAAAAAATAGTTTGTAAAGAAAACATGGCTTCATGACCAAAATAACTAGTGCTTTTTTCTTTTTTCCCAGAGCACACTAAATTCTTCTAATGACTGTGAACTCATAGATGAAGTATTCTTTAGCAAGATGCTGTTAAGCAACCTTTCAGGTGTAGCATCCAGACTTCTCT